GGGGACACAGGGGACACCCAGAGTGACCTGAGGGGACACAGGGGACACTCAGAGTGACCTGGGGGGGACACAGGGGACACCCAGAGTGACCTGAGGGGACACAGGGGACACTCAGAGTGACCTGGGGGGGACACAGGGGACACCCAGAGTGACCTGAGGGGACACAGGGGACACCCAGAGTGACCCCATGGGGACACAAGGGACACCCAGAGTGACCTGGGGGGGACACAGGGGACACCCAGAGTGACCCGAGGGGGACACAGGGGACACCCAGCGTGACCTGAGGGGACACAGGGGACACCCAGAGTGACCTGGGGGGGACACAGGGGACACTCAGAGTGACCCGGGGGGACACAAGGGACACCCAGAGTGACCCGAGGGGACACAGGGACACCCAGAGTGACCCAGGGGGGACACAGGGGACACCCAGAGTGACCCGAGGGGGACACAGGGGACACCCAGAGTGACCCCATGGGGACACAGGGACACCCAGAGTGACCCCATGGGGACACAGGGGACACCCAGAGTGACCCGGGGGGACACCCAGAGTGACCCGGGGGGACACAGGGGACACCCAGAGTGACCCGAGGGGACACAGGGGACACCCAGAGTGACCTGAGGGGACACAGGGACACCCAGAGTGACCCGGGGGGACACAGGGGACACCCAGAGTGACCTGGGGGGGACACAAGGGACACCCAGAGTGACCTGGGGGGACATAGGGACACCCAGAGTGACCCAAGGGGACACAGGGACACCCAGAGTGACCCGAGGGGGACACAGGGGACACCCAGAGTGACCCAGGGGGGACACAGGGGACACCCAGAGTGACCCAGGGGGGACACAGGGGACACCCAGAGTGACCCCATGGGGACACAGGGGACACCCAGAGTGACCCAGGGGGACACAGGGGACACCCAGAGTGACCTGGGGGGACACAGGGACACCCAGAGTGACCTCAGGGGGACACCCAGAGTGACCCGGGGGGGACACAGGGGACACCCAGAGTGACCCGAGGGGGACACAAGGGACACCCAGAGTGACCCGGGGGGACACAGGGGACACCCAGAGTGACCCCATGGGGACACAGGGGACACCCAGAGTGACCCCATGGGGACACAGGGGACACCCAGAGTGACCCGGGGGGACACAGGGACACCCAGAGTGACCCCATGGGGACACAGGGACACCCAGAGTGACCCCAGGCCCCGGGCCC